TAAAATGTCGAATCTATGACTCGCACAGGTGAGGGCGTGACCGTTTTGCACACATCGGCCCACGTTTTCGGCAATGTGGTTGTTGGATTTCCTCATCATTACAGTCTGTTAGCTTTCTGTCGCTCCAACAGTCGTCCGGATCTGAAGCCCATGTTGACTCCTTTTTACTGAATAGAAATACGATTTTCTCCGCTAATCGAATGGGCGAAGCAAAACTGTGGTGCCATTGCGACATTGCTGGGAAACTGCGCGTAAAAACTGCGATCACTGGTTGCAAACATGGCTATGAAGCTGTAGAAAGGTCGGTGGGTGCTGTCACCCGTAACTATGGTCATGGTAACCAGGGGGTGGTGTACCTGCGTTTTTTAGATGGGATGGGAGGGGGAGCGCAAATCAAGGGTTGAAAGGTTCTTATTGAGATACAAGGAGATAGCCTGGTCTATAAATGTCATTTTGGTTGCAAAATCGTGAAGAGAACGTGCATTGTTTGGACAAAATAAGCTGGTGTCAAATTTCACTTCGGGGGGGGGGGGGGGCAACTGCGGGACACATCCCCAGTCTCCCATGGATTACACCCATGGCTGACACTCCCTCAGTATTCCCCACTGTTGGTATAGCTGGGTTTCACCGATGCATCTTGGATCCCAAGGCCGTGAAAGTCAATGAGCTACTAAATAGGCGAGTTTAAAAAACAAGACAGGGCCAGCTGAGCAAAAGGAGTTGATACAAGGAATGCGGAAAGCACAGGGTTGTAAGACGTACGATAGTTTTTCGGTTTTGCTGCATATAGCGGTCAAAATATCTGCTGGCATCAATATTCTAGGCAAATAATGGCAATGACGTCACTAGACGTCAACGCTGCGAAACATCGCTCTGATTCACCCTTTCTTTCAGATATCCTGGTGGATTGCCTCAGGTGCTAAACTAAAATGTCGATTTAGAATTGCATGAGCCATAACAAATTTACAACAAAATATGTATGTTTGAAATCGAGAATCTATTTCCAACAAAAAACTTGGGTGAATAATATATGTCATAGACAACAGAATAATTATTTTTGGTAATTCTGTGACAGCTTGGCGCATGCGCAGTTGATTGTTTAACGACAAATCCGATAAAGGCTGAGCGAATGTGAGGCGAATGTGCTGTGTTTGGTGCTGGGGCATTGTCCCCCTCTTCGTTGTTTAATTCTATGGTCAGAACTACCGCGAACTGTGTAAAGAAAGGAAGCGAAAAATACTCTCAGAATATGTGGAGATCTAAAATGTGTAGTTACTGTGCAGTTACAGCTATTGTGATAGGCCAATTAGGCCCGAAAGCTTAGTGCTACCACATTGACCTGCGGAACATCGATGGCAAGGCTGTTTGGGATTTGATTCAGAGTGGAGATGTTTTCAGCCACGAGTAGCATTTCTTTGGATGCGCAGTCACAGGTGTACGATTTTAAGAGTGAAGAAAATGCCTGGAAGTGGCAAGGCATATTCAGGGAATCATTGGCGAAGGTAGGTGTCTGTTTAGTGTGTATAAGTGGTGTAGCCAAGCAAGGGAAAGGAAAATATATGCAACTATTTTTGCCCATTATATCCAATTTGGGAAACATTGGATGTTCCATCTTTTCCCAGGACCTTTCCCTTAAGTAATCAGCAGCAATGCACCTCTGGCTGGGGCTGAGCCTCAAACCTGTGGATTTCAGGGGAGAGGGGGGGGATAAGAAATGCCTATTTGCATCCATATATCCCTCAACTATGCTGCGTATGGATATATGGTAGAAAGATTCTAGTTTGTTTCAGCATTTTATTGATCAAAACAGAACTATTAATTTGTGTTAGTGGATGCTCTAAGGATAGATTTAGCAATGCAGTGTGGAGAAAGAATCTACCTAATTGATGCTATAAGCAGTGCTAAGCTATTTTAAGTCTGACATATAAGTCTTGGTTAAGTTTTGCCTTGCTTGAATGTCATGGTCTTGGATGAATGTATTATCATATATATAATGTTAAAATATCACAGAAGGAGATGGAATATTCCCTGTAATTGTATTAAAGAACATGAATACATTTTATGCTACTTTGTGGAAATTGAGGAGGTAAACACCTATGTTAAGGCTCAGGTCATGCCCTCCATTTCCCAAGTGCGGCATCACATTGTTTACAAAATTACAGTCAGTTGAATTATGCACATAACCTAAAGTTTTCTTTATGGTAGTGTGAGATATAGATATCAACTATTACATGAAATTCTGGACATTAGGACTGAATTTCCTCAAAATCACATAGTATGTAGTGTAAAATTTGCCTCGGCTCGAGTAGGTATGACACCTTGTGCTCCGCTTGACCACATCCCTCAGCCAAAGCAATGTGGCCATCCTTGCCAAGCAATCAGAGGGGTGGACAGGTGCTGCATTGCAAAGCCACTGCAATCATGGCATGATTCTCAAAATTGGGTTGATCTATAGCAACATGGTGCCTCTGATCAAAGTTTGCTGATTGATAACTATCTGTTGATATTTGTCTATGAATGTGCATCAATCACACCATAAAGCAGGTATCCAGACTGTTGTGATTTGTGGTGTTTTTCTGGCTGCCTCTCTTCTATATCTCTCTCTCTCTCTCTGTCCTCCCCCCTCTCTCCTCCAGTCTTCCCCGTCAGTGGTGGCTAAACCCATGATGTTGGGAGAATCTGGCCATCTAAATTTGCTTCTCGAATGCCCAGCAGGTCATCTGTTCCTTATGTCATACCTACTTCACATCCTAAAGCTTTATTTTGAAAGTGTCTTAGAAATGTTTCATTTTATTGGCTGCAAATAACAATACATGGTTGGACATCATGTGCTGGGTGTGGTGACACTATGTATTTTGCTTAAGGTCATGAATTGTAATAATGTCAGGCATGACACAGTATTGGTGATGATCTGATAGCTGTGCTATTGTTATTGTTAGCTGTGTTATACTCCTATTGTTTATATAGTGCTGTGATAAATATGGTTATGGTTGCAAACATCCCTTTGTTTGCTGTCATCTCACTGTAATGTTATAAAATGAGGGAGTAAGTGGGTAGCCTAGCTGATAGTGCTTTTAATGGCCAGCTGTGTTGCACTTTTTGTATTTAGGTTGTGTTGTAGCTGTTAGGGTTATGGCTATGCATATCTCTGCATGTTGCCATCTGGCTTGTACCAGTTAAAAAAGCTGCTGCAAAGCTGCCACATCCACTGTAAAAGAACAATGTTTCAGGTTAATATTATGTTGCATAAGAGTGTCTAGAAAACATTTCTACAAGTGAGCCCACAATTGTAGATTTGATATATTCATTTTTGATGCTCACATTTTCATTTGAAATGGCCATTTGAATGCAATAGTGTTGGATTTGGTTTTAGTTACATTTGCGGAAGTGTCAGCTGCTCGCAGCTGGATGATTTATTCAGAGATTTTATGATCAGATGGCAGTCAGTTTCTTGAGACCTCATGATATATGCAAATAATTCATTCTTTGAAGCTTACTTATCAACATCAACATGGCATCTTACTCCTCCATGCCTGAGATAAATGTGCGGAAGCTGTTAGCAGCAACAAAGCATGCATGCACATTCCTATAATGTTGGGCTTTTCAAACTGATGTACCAGCCATCAGCAGACTAATAGCTGCAGCATGCCTACATGAGTGGGTGTAATTTATTGCTTTGGTCAGCTGTTCTGTGCTGAAACTGGAATTAAGATGAATGGCTTGTAAACTTTGTATGACTCAGATGTGCCCTCTAGTTGTGCATGTATCTGCAGTTCAGCACCTGCACCAAACATTGCACTCCTGCTGAAACCTGCTGTTTTTTCATGGACCTACTAGCTGGTGTTTATCACTGAAATTATCTGCTCATTGCTTTGTAACCCAGGCAGCTCTCAGTAACAGTTTATTTGCACAGCACCCTGTTCATATATTGGGAATGAGTAATGTATTATTTTTGTTATAGTATAATATTGTTATATATAAATTTTGTTTCAAAGTAAAGCAAGTGATTTTGTATTAAGAAACCAAAGTACAATTTATGCAAAATTCAACTTGTATGTCATGTTCCATGTGACTGTATGCTGTGCACAAACTGCAGAGTGTCTATGTGTCCTCTTCCTATCTCACACTTCCCCCTCCCCCCAAAAATTTTTTGGAAATGTTTGTCAAGTGACCATCAAGCTCATAGTTGCTATTTGTAAAGGACTGTTGCAGGCACCCTGAACCTGCCACCCATACAGTGCTGACCCACATTCAGCCATGTTAGGTTGTCTCCTGTCTCCCAAGCAAGACAAGCATTTGCACATATTTTCAGGCCTGCAACACTTACAATTTTATGTTGCTTGTGCTAATGCAATAAATGGTTTAAAAAATGAATTTCAAATTGCACTTCTGGATGACTGAATGTGCACTCACTGGGCAGAGCTTGTCATATGTGCCCTGGATCTCCCTTCCAGAACAGCCAATCCAGATTGTCATACAAGTTTACCTCCAGCCTCTTTGTGTAACAGGATGACAAAAGGTTCTGTGTGTGCCTCACAATGCTGTGACATTGCCATCCTGGCCAGTATAGCATGGCAGATGGCAGAGTTGACTCATGGGCTCAAATCGTGACCTGGTTTTCAGCTGCGCAAACAGCTCAGCTTGAGTTGGGTTGCTGTCATAGAGGCACCTTTTCAGCTGTGGCTGTTTTGCACACTGCTCAGGTCTTGCTTGTTGTTGCAAATGAAACTGAGATGGACGGTTGTAAACTTATTGAGTCCTGATCACACAAATGCTATCTAGTGCCATTGCTTTCTCTCCAGTTGTCTTTTATGAGTGTTGAGCAAGTTGCCTTTAGTTATGCTTATTTAAGGTATGTGCTACCAGTTTCAGCTGTAATCCAGATGTGCAGTGTTCAATTTAAGTGAACTGTAAAGGCAAATACAGGTAGTCCAAGTGATGCCTGTGTGTTGATGGGACACCTTGGACCATTTCCATTCAAGGTACTGGGCCAAGTGGACATGAACCTGAAAGCCCGTGAGGATGCCTTGGACCATGTGGAATCTCTCATCCTACAGCTTCTGATGATGCTCTCTGGAAAGCCAATGCCTCACACTGTACAGGTGGGTGTGATGGAAGACCAGCTTCTACTGTTGACACTCGTGGCTTTTTTGCCACTAGTCCTTTTTTGCCTTTTTACCTATATTATTGTTTGCTTGGATTTTCTGGTATGACCTTTTGTCCTGACATTCAGTTTGTATACTGTTGTGTGATTGTTTTGATGTCCTGCTTGTCGCTGACTTCTGAGGCTGTTTTCATGTTATGCTGGGGTGTGGATTTGTGTGACCCATATAGTTGGTTATGCATCCCTTTTGGTTTGCAACATCATCATGTATGAATGATGCAGGTTAGAACTGAGTAGAAGGAAGAGCCATGTTTGCTTCCAGATGTATCACTGATGCTGGTGAAAGGTTGTAAATCACCTGGTGTGTGGAAATCATATTGTTGCTTTCAATTGCCCATCTTTTACTCTTCTAATGAGAAATCATTTCCTATTCATGATATGGATGAAATGTGTTTTCATTTTAAATATGGTAGTTGCTTGACTGCTTGCTCATGATTTCTGTTTGCAATAACTGGTGCTCTGTGGGACAGGATGTTGAAGAAAAAGTGGAGAGAACATTCCCAAACCCTATCAACAAGTGGGCAATACAGGAAGCACGTGGTGTGTTGGAAAAGGGGAAGAAAAGATCAGTGGTTCTTCCTGTGGAGAAAGTACACAACCTGCTTGTCAAGGTAATGTTTGCACCTCACTAGGCCCAGACCTTTGATGGCAATGGAGCATAGGTATGGGATTGAGAGTAGAAACACTTGTCATTTAATCTCATGTAAAATTGTAATTTGTATTTGCATATCAAGAAAGTTCCATCACAATTTGTGCAGTGATAGTTAAGGTTTTGGTTCTTTTTGTGATCTAGATTTGTAATACATTTTCTATGGTGCACTGAGATTCTGGCACAGTTACAGCTGTACAGATTTTCACTACACTATTTACAAGTTGCCACCCAGATGCTGACTTCCACACTGCAATCACTCTGGTTGTCTTGGTTGGGGTACCCACATCACATTCAGTTTGCCGTTGATTGCTCTTGTTTTGCCAGCAGAAACCATGCTGTGCTACCACAGAGTCATGTATGCTGGAGCAGCAGGCAGAGTCGTATGCTGCAATCACTGTGACGCCATTTTACAGGAGGTCTTTCAGCACAAGATTGATTTTCAAGTTTCGCTGTACATCGTGGCCGTGCTGGAGTATATCGCTGCCGACATATTGAATGTGAGTTCACGCCCAGTGCTTCGCCGCACTCGCGGAACCAGACGTCCGAAGGTCTGAAAACAAAAGATGTTCACTTGTTGACTAGGTGTGTTGTTGTGGTCTTGCTTAAACTTCGACCATAAACATTTGCCGTCATCTATTAAGCAGCTGTTAAGTTGTGACAGCTGCTAAAGGTTAATGAAACAGAAGATGACAGACTGGCGAGGCGTCTGCTTATTTTCCACTTCGGCATGTTTTTAACGTACACTGGACGTCGGGGACGTACACAGACGTCCTGTGTACGCCCACTGGGGTCTGTGCAGCCATGGCGCCACCACGGCGTGAGTGCGTCCGACCAGAACCGGTCCGATCTGTGCTGTGTCGTTCGGCGCTCGAGGCCGGCGCCTGCCGCCCGGCGCCGCGCCGTCTGACGAGCGCCGTCACCGCCTCTCCCCAGCTGGTCGGCAAGTACAAGAAGAACATCCACCATGTGGAGCACCACGCCATCACGCCGCAGGACATCAAGACGGCCATCTCGGCCGACCAGGTGAGGCGGCCGGCGGCGTCCGGCGCTCGGGGGACGGGTGCGGGCTCGCGGGGGGGGGGGGGGGGACGGGCGGGGCCTCGAGGGACTGGGCGCCGTGCCCCGGGGGACGGACCGGGCGTCGGACCGCACGGAGGCGCCCCGCCTCGTCTGACTCGGCGACGCCACTGCGTGTGGCGACGGGTGTGCACAGGGCAGGAAGGTGCAGAGGGCATCTGGGAGCACAGCCACCCCCCTGTGGAGCCCTGGACTCACCTCCAGTGCTCGGCAAGCTCCTGGACGGTGGCGTTATGTAGCGCTTTCGTTGTGGGCTGTGGCGTCCGATGCCACATCGACCCCGCACGCAAAACTGTGAGCACTTAAGTTCTTTGAGGCGCAACAGTTTTGCCTCGTTGTCCATCAGGTAGCTTCCCGCATTACGCATCGAGACGCATACTTGGTATTTCACCCCGTATCGCCCCGGCTCCTTTCAAGCAACAGCCCCATGCATCCAGGACAGCTGGCGACTGTATCGCACCTCTGCATCGTCTCCGTGCCGCCTCTGCGCCCCACCCCGGACAGGTGGTCCGCAAGCCTTGTCCTCCCCGGCCTAGGTGCACCGCCGCTCGCTCACGTGGCAGTCATCGTTAGTCTAGACGCCAGCTGCTCATAGCGCACGGCGTGGGCCGCCGCCTGCGGTGCGGCGTCCGGGCCTCAGCCGTGCCGCCTTCTCCGTGCACGCTCGTCACTGCCGCGTCGTCCGCCGCCGGCTGGGGCGCGGCTGGGGCCGCAGCGCCGCCGGCCCGCCCCGGTGGCGGCGCCGCACCGCCTCGCCTGCCGCTCTTTCTTTCTCGCTGTCTTTGTCGCCGGCCGCGCGAGCGCTGCTAACAGTCGGTGTCCTCCGCTGCGGCACGCACTCAGAACTGGATCGTGCTGACCAAGGTAACGTGCCGGTGCGGCCGCCACGTGGCGCGTCTGTCCGTCCGTCCGTCCGGCCGGCCGGCCTCGGCTGGCCGGCGGCCGCGACGCGACCCTTCCGCATGTGGCCGGCGGCGGGCGTCTCGGCACCCCGCGCCTCGCGCCGCCAGCCGGGGCCGACGCGGCCGGCGCCGACCGTCGGCTGGCGACGGCGGCCGGCAGGCGGCCGTCCGATCGAGCGCGGCGCGGGTGCCGGCCGGTCGCCGCCGGCGTGGAGTCGTGCTGCCTGGCGCCCCGCCGCATGTGCCGCCGCCGGCAGCTGCCGCACCGTTCGTGTGGCGTGAGGCCAGTCGCCTGCCAGCGGGCTCTTGCATGCCTGGCCGACAATCACTCGACCCTCATCTCGGGTCCAGACGTGTGCGTTTTTTTCTCTCCTCCAGAATGCAGCCTGACTTGGACATACAAGGCTGCACGGTAGACGTATTCATGAGTGCCACAGTGACGTTGAATAGATACACCTTGGCAAGGCGCCGCTGATCGGTGATAAGCTGTTTGGGTCGGTGCTATTTGGCGTCTGCCGGGCCTCGTGAATATATTTCTCGTTGTGACCACTGAAGGCCCTGGGCAGACCTTATGCGTATTTCCGCGACCATGCCCACGGGTGCAACGCCGGCCTCCGTACGGTGCCTCGCGGCGCCTGCCGATGGTGGTAGCGTCTGACGCGTGCAAACTATGTTGTCTGCCGGCGGCAGTCGAGCGCAAAGCGCGGAAACTCTGCGTCGTGTCACGCTGACATGCCGGACTGGTCGAGTGTGTCGGCGTTCGCCCATGGTCGCTGATCTGACGTGTGCATTGCTCATATGCGGGGGTGGCCGGCGCGGCCGAGGCTGCGCTGAGCTGTTGGGTTTTATGTGGGTTGTCTGCCCGCTCCGAAGGTGGCGCTTTAGTACTTGGGTGCACCGGTGCCGAGAGCGGACTAACGCTCGCCGTCAGTGTGGTCTCGGGGCGGCCGAGTCTTGTGACCGCGTCCACACGGCGTCAGCAGCGTGTCGCCTCCCCTGCCCCCCCCCCCCCCCCCTCCTCCCCCACCCTCCCCAGGCACGGGCCTCGCTAACCTCGGCGCCTGGTGTCGGCAGGTGCTCATGGACATGTTCGAGCAGGACGACGACGTGGCGACGTTCCCGGGCCTGGACGACGAGCCGGCCGCCAGCACGGCCGTCACCTTCGACGAGGCCGTCAAGGAGATAATCGTGGAGGAGAAGCAGTACCTGCGCGACCTCAACCTCATCATCAAGGTGTTCAAGGCGCAGATCGAGAAGTTCGAGCAGACCACGGCCAAGGTGAGTGGCTGTCGCTCGCTCTGTGTGACGGTGCTGCTGACCGCGCCCTGTGCGGCCGGTGTCGGTCGGAGGCGCGACGCGTCTACGGCCTCGGGGTGTGTGTCGCGTCTCGCTCCTTTGTCGGGGCGTTCGTTTGCGTGTCTGTGAAGTTTTCAAACCTGCGTGACCTCAACCTCAAACCGCCAACGGTGAAAGAGACAGGGCTAAGAGTTACGACCATTCTGCTGGTATTTCATGCTGGTAGAAGTGCTGAAGCGTGAACTTGGCTGCGGACGGTGGAAGCCGACATAATCTGCATTCTGGAAAGCGCCGATTGCAGGGCTCCAGCCCCTGTTTCCATTCCGCTCTCGGGCGTTCCGCGATGACAATCTCGGGCTATGCCAACCGTGCCTCATTTCTATGAATCGCCTCCATAATGAGATGTGTGTGTTGGTGTTGATCCCGCCCACTTCCCAGCCTTTTCTCCGTGCATGGCAGTTATGACCCCTGCCATGGACGTGCACTGTTCTGTTTGATGCAGAGCTGTTTCTGGTCGAGGCCTCTCCAGTTCCGTGCTGTCGCGTACTGATCTCGGTTGGTACCCATCAGTCCCCGACGGCCATCATTGATCCTCACTACATTGCGTTGCTGGTTGGGTACGCCCACTGGCCCCCAGTGACTTCCTCTGACCCTGTCGGCATGTAGCGAGCCCTGCCTTGACCTCTGATGACCCTCGGACCGGCCTCTCCTGAGGTTCGTACTGACCTCTCCCTGACCCCTCCCTGACCCCGGGAGGGGGGGGGGGGCGCTTCTAATCGCTACTGATTCTCAAATTGATCTCTCCTGACCCTCGGGCTGACCTGTCCCTGACCCCGGTGGGCGCATTTGACCTCCCCTGACCCTCGGGCCGACCTGCTCCTGACCCCGGTGGGTGCCTCTGACCACTGCTGACCCGCTGACTGTCATGCCCTACGATGTCGTCAGGACGTGGAGATCATATTCAGTAACCTGCTGGACGTGTACGAGTGCACGGCCACAGTGCTGGGCCAGCTGGAGGACACGCTGGAAATGGCCGACGACGGCTGGCACCTCAGCGTCGGCAGCTGCTTCGAGGAGCTGGCCGAGGTCGGTGCCCGCCGCACGGCCGGGCTGCTGCCGCCTCCCGCGCCGCTAGGGAACGTAGGAGTGCTGTTTGACAGCGTTGGACGACGTTTAGCGGGCGTAGTTGGGTCAAAGTGGGTCAAAGGAGGCTTTTTATTCCCATTTGGGTTGAATTTTTTACGTGAATTTATTGTTTTTATGGCGACAGATCTGAGCACCTTTTACCTTGCAAGAGGGATGCTCCCCAAATACTGCCACTCCAGATCGCTGTTTTGTCTCACGTCGTACATGTCCCGCAAGCATGCCTCACTCTCTGTGTGCGCGGCGGTCGCGGCCGGCGGTTTGACATTCCGATGTAGTGAGGGCAGCGTCAGGTCTTACGTAACGAGATGGTGGCGACAGCCAGCCGTCAGCCCGACACCGCGCCAGCGCGCCGGCGGCGGCCACCAGGCTGACCCCACACCGCCGCCGCCGCCGCCAGGAGTCCGAGTTTGACGTGTACGAGAAGTACACGACCGACGTGCTGAAGCCGCAGTGTCGGGACCAGCTGGCCGCGCTGCTGGAGCGGCCGGAGATCTTCAACAGCCTCGGCACGGCTGGCCACGGCTTCCGCGAGGCCGTCAAATACGTGCTGCCCAAGCTGCTCCTCCTGCCCGTGGCGCACGTGCTCAAGTACTTTGACAATATTAAGGTGGGTGGGCGAGCGCTGGCGGCGTAGAGGTGTTCAGTGAGTCGGCGACTCATGACGGTTGTGCGGGCACTGACAATGTTGTAAGAGTTCGGTGCTTCGGAAATAGCGATGGTGCTAAAGCACTGGGAAGTCAACCGGGCTCCCAATGAGGGCTTGCGACGGTGTCACGGCAGATAGTCATTGGTGTTGACTGGGGCAAAGTTAACGACGCATGCCAATGCGTTGGAGGTTATCGTGGCGGCATCCTATGCCCTTGACATCTGGAGAGACGGGAACATAGCTGGCGATGTTTTTGTTGTCTGTTGAGGTCCTCACCTTACCCTCAGGTAAGGACTGTTGAGGCCCTCACTTTACCCTCATAAGTACGCTCTCTGGCTGTGAGCGACGTGGGCCCAGCGTTCAGCGAGCTAAGTGGTACGCAGGACGCTGGGCGAGCACGCCTCGGGGTGCGGTGCGCTCCAGTGGCCGCCACGTGGGCTGCCTCTGGCTGGTCGCCATGTACAGACCGGTACGCGGGCATTCGTGTGCTGACTACAGGCGGCGTGCGAGATCGCCGTTCGCATTCCCCCTGCAGTCGCTGTCTTTGGCCGTCACTGAGCGTAGTCGCCCGTCGTCCCCGGACACCGCGCGTCCGGACGCCGCGCGGTGCCGCTCCGCCGACACGCGGTGACCCGACCTGCACCCGGCGCGGCCGGCAGATGCTGTGCCACCTGTCCGAGTCGGAGGAGGACCGCGAGGTGCTGGAGCAGGTGCAGGGCATGCTGAAGACGCTGCAGACACAGCTGGAGCGGGTGGTCTCCAACAGCGGCATCACCGTGCTTCCCAAACGAAAGCCCGGGTGAGCGGAGTCGATGCCGATGTGCCGCAAAGCCCGGCTTCGGCAGGGTCTACCGTGTGGCTCCTGTCCCGATCCATCGTCGGTGCTGCCACACTGGAGTCCGCCCGTCCATGATTTAGTAACACCAGCTGCTCTTACAGGTTTAATAGTGCAGGATTGGTCTCTGTTGTTACCTGTTCGTTATCTGTGTTGCATGATCTCGACTTGTCCTGCTCATCGGCAGGAATCACACGAGTGACAATTTGTCGTCATGGGCTGCGCACCGACATAATCGAATCGTCGCCCCGCAATTTTTGCTCTCGTTTGTCTCGCGTCTCCACACTCGTTCATATCCTCTCGTCGTGCCACCGAGCGTGTGCTGAAGTTCGGCGCCGGCGGCGTCATAACGGGTGCCGTGTCGGCTGCAGGGACCCGCCCGCCCGCAACAACCGCTCGGTGCGCCAGGCCAACATCCAGAAGATGAACGAAGTGCAGCGCTGCATGGACGGCTGGGAGGGGAAGGACATCAGCCAGTGCGGCTGCAGCGAGTTCGTCAAAGGTGCGCGTCGTCGCTGTCCGTCCTGGCTCGCATGCGCTCCCCGTGAGGCCCGTCAAGTACTCCCCCTCCCGTTCCCGTGTGTCCCGCTCTCGTCCCAGACCCGTCACCGTCCGGCTGCCGCGCTGGTCCCCTTTCCCGGCACGGTTCCCGCTTTATTCCCGCTTCGATCGTGGTCCTTGCCGCTCCAACCCCTCGCTTAGGTTTGTGCTCTGCTCGCGACCCCCGCTCCAACTCCTCGTTCCTCGCTGGGGTTTGTGCTGTGCTGTGTGTCCAGCTCCCCGCAGCCACCGTGACGTCACGGCGGGTGCGCTCGCGTCGCGCTTGGGCCGTCACCTCGCGGCGCGGTGGGAATCCGACTCCGGCGTGTGCTCCAGCGAGTGGGCTGTGGCGGCCTGACGTGACCGCGTGCTCGTCCGCCAGAGGGCGTGCTGGGCAAGCTGGGCGGCGGCCGCAAGCTGACCGAGCGGCACGTGTTCCTGTTCGACGGCCTGATCGTGCTCTGCAAGCCCAACAGTCGGCGCTCGTCGGTGACGGGGCCTGTGGCCGAGTTCCGGCTCAAGGAGAAGTTCCAGATCCGCAAGATTGAGATCAAGGACCGCGAGGACGGCGACGGTTAGTGGCGACGCGACGGCCGCTGGCCGGCGTCGTATCTCCGCCCCGCCCGCCTCATGTGTCGAGAGCACTGACGCATTGAAGAGACCAGGGGAAACGGGGCCATGGTCTCCCCCATAATACGGTGCGGAGAACTGCCATTCTCTTCGTAAGTCGTGGCTTTCAAGGAAAGTCCGAGATTTGGGCCGGAGACTCCGCTGGATTGCTGGCAACCCCTTACACTGTACCCCGATCTCGCCGGCTCCACTCGTGGTCAAAACCTCTGGCTCGGGTCACAGTGTCCAGGCCCCTGCCCTGTATGCCTCTGCGGTGACTCCGCCGTGGCGCGCCGAGCCCCTGAGCCGACCCGACCTGACCGCCCGTTCGCCGGCAGACCTGCGGTTCGCGTTCGAGATCGCGCCCCGCGAGCAAAGCAGCATCATCCTGTTCGCCAAGACGGCGCAGGATAAGAACGAGTGGATGGCGAGCCTCATCATGCTCAACACGAAAAGGTGCGGGGGCTTGGGAGCCGGGCCGGCGTCGCGCCGGCTGCGCTGTGGGATGTCAGTGCGGTGCGCTTGGCAGCGCGCGCTTAGAGGCCGCTTTGTCCAGGCGTGGACTGGACTGCCGTGCTGTGGCTGCCTTCTTTCGTAGCGGAGCTGTTGGGTTCGGGGCTCCAGCGCCAGTCTATGGCCCATTGTGATAAATATGTGTCAAATGCGATGTCATATGTGGGTCGCTGTTGTTGGCTCGTGGAAGGAATGTCTAACAGGTGACGTAGTCACGATATGGCTCATTATGGTGGTCAGTGGCAAGACATGGTCTGGCTCGTAGAAGGAGTGTCGAACAGGTGACGGAGTCACGATATGGGTCACTATGTTGGTCAGTGGTAAGGCATGGTCTCTAACGCTCGGCGGATATCATTCACAGCTATCGTTTGGTGTGCTGCCTTTCCGTGACCTTCCCGTACCTGACTAGCCCTAGCCTGACCCGCCCTGGCCTGACATTCACTGACTTGGTCCACCCTGACCTGACCGACCCCTGTGTCGCCGGCAGCATGCTGGACCGCTCGCTGGACATGCTGCTGCTGGACGAGGAGAAGAAGAACCCGCTGCGCCGTCCCGACCCGGAGCAGTACCGGTTCGCCGAGCCGGACAGCCCCGACAACATCGTGCTGGAGCAGCCAGAGGCGGCCGGCGTGCCTCTCATTAAGGTGAGTCCGCGCGCCGGCCCGGACGCGCCGCCGCCGCCGTCGCCGCATCGGCCGGCAGAGGCGGCCGGCTGCGGGGTGAGGTTCGCTCTCGGTGCTGTCCGCAGGTGTCTCGTCCGCCAGCGTTCTGTGCGCTGGCCAATCAGGAACACGCTTCCCCAGTGATTCGCTGACGACAGGCGGCGAATATGGCCCATGTGCCTACCAGCTGTGTCCCATTATCTGCCCACTGATAGCTGGACTGACGATGTGCCGTCCCCTCTGTGTGTTTTCGCTGAACACAGGCTCTTCTGCCCGCCAGCTCCTTGCTGTGGTGTCCCCTGACGCTCTGCATACTTGGCTGCAGTGTGTGTGTGTGACGCGCCACCGGCCTGCCGACAGGGCGCCACGCTGACCAAGCTGACGGAGCGGCTCACGTACCACATGTACGCCGACCCCATGTTCGTCAGGACCTTCCTCACCACATTCCGCAGCTTCTGCACCGCCCAGGTATGTGCCGTCACAACCGCGGCGGACGGCAGTTGGCTCTCACACGCCATGTCATGCCGACCATGTCCTGCGCCGAGACTGGCTGTTGTGTTTTCGGCCTCTCAAGTGCCAACACACGGTTGGGCGTTTCTCTGCTAAAGTTTACGATCGGCTCCATTGCCGGTTTTTATTGCGAACACGCAATATTTGTTGTATGCGGGCGTAGCGTGTTGCGTCATTGCAAGCCTCGCTTTTCTAAGCTCACGCATTGAGCATGGATCGCCCTTGCCTACGACTTGCAGCCATATTATCATCTTGTAATTTCCGCAACGCACACAAGTTCCTCGCCAAACGCTGCCCTACCCCGCTCGGCCGTGCCGGCCGCCGGTGTAAGCGCCGCTGACGGCGATGCAGCGTCACGAGCTGCTCTGGCTGGCCACACCACTCCGCCCCATCCGTCCGGCGCGCCGTCGCGAGCTGCTCTGGCTGGCCACGCCACTCAACCCCATCCGTCCGGCGCGCCGTCGCGAGCTGCTCTGACTGGCCGTATCACTCAACCTCATCCGTCCGGCGCGCCGTCACGAGCTGCTCTGGCTGGCCGTGCCATTCCGCCCCATCCGTCCGGCGCGCCGTCACGAGCTGCTCTGGCTGGCCGTGCCACTCCGCCCCATCCGTCGGGCGCGCGGTCACGAGCTGCTCTGACTGGCCACGCCATTCCGCCCCACCCGTCCGGCGCGCAGTCACGAACTGCTCTGACTGGCCACGCCATTCCGCCCCACCCGTCCGGCGCGCAGTCACGAGCTGCTCTGACTGGCCACGCCATTCCGCCCCACCCGTCCGGCGCGCAGTCACGAGCTGCTCTGACTGGCCACGCCATTCCGCCCCACCCGTCCGGCGCGCGGTCACGAGCTGCTCTGACTGGCCACGCCATTCCGCCCCACCCGTCCGGCGCGCAGTCACGAGCTGCTCTGACTGGCCACGCCATTCCGCCCCACCCGTCCGGCGCGCAGTCACGAGCTGCTCTGACTGGCCACGCCATTCCGCCCCACCCGTCCGGCGCGCAGTCACGAGCTGCTCTGACTGGCCACGCCATTCCGCCCCACCCGTCCGGCGCGCAGTCACGAGCTGCTCTGACTGGCCACGCCATTCCGCCCCACCCGTCCGGCGCGCGGTCACGAGCTGCTCTGACTGGCCACGCCATTCCGCCCCACCCGTCCGGCGCGCGGTCACGAGCTGCTCTGACTGGCCACGCCATTCCGCCCCATCCGTCCGGCGCGCAGTCACGAGCTGCTCTGACTGGCCACGCCATTCCGCCCCACCCGTCCGGCGCGCAGTCACGAGCTGCTCTGACTGGCCACGCCATTCCGCCCCACCCGTCCGGCGCGCGGTCACGAGCTGCTCTGACTGGCCACGCCATTCCGCCCCACCTGTCCGGCGCGCGGTCACGAGCTGCTCTGACTGGCCACGCCATTCCGCCCCACCCGTCCGGCGCGCAGTCACGAGCTGCTCTGACTGGCCACGCCATTCCGCCCCACCCGTCCGTCGCGCGGTCACGGCGGTACTGCCCGGCCGGGCGGCCCGCGCCGGCCACCGGCCCGCTGAGCGCGGCGCCGTGACCAGCGGCCGGGGTCGACAGGAGCTGCTGACGCTGCTGTTGGACCGGTACGACATCCCCGAGCCGGGCGCGCCGCCCGACCATTCGCCCACGCCGCCCGGCCTCGACACCAAGGCCGTGAAGGCCACGCTGCGCGACGACATCAAGCGCTTTCGCAAGGAGTACAGCCAGCCGGTCAAGTTCAGGTGCGGCCGGCGATGGGCAGGGCTACAGGGCGGGGCGGGCCGACTTCGGGGACGGCTTAGGAGGTGGGCTTCCGCAAGGAGTACAGCCAGCTGGTCAAGTTCAGGTGCGGCCGGCGATGGACAGGGCTACAGGGCGGGGCGGGCCGACTTCGGGGACGGCTTGGGAGGTGGGCTTCGGCAAGGAGTACAGCCAGCCGGCCAAGTTCAGGTGCCGTCGGCGATGGGCAAGGGTACAGGGCGGGCGGGCCGACTTCGGGGACGGCTTGGGAGGTGGGGATCTGAACAGAAGTTGCCTAGTGGCGTCCTCTAATCACGGTCAGTGCATTTCTTCATCACGCAAGGGCGCGTCCGGCAGTGCCAGACAGGCCTGCTTCCAACGTCTTCATGGTCCGTGAGACATGTCATAATGCTTGCCGAAATTCAAGCTCCCAACAAATCGCGTTGAGCACGTTGGCATGCTTTGTTTGTGAATATGTATTCGTTGTGGTCTGTGATGTCGCCCGTTTGTCGGGCCGCCCGTCGAGTGTCGTGTTCGCCGTGCTGAATCGGCCCGCTGTCGGCAGGGTGCTGAACGTGCTCCGCCACTGGGTGGACCACCACTTCTACGACTTCGAGCGGGACCAGCAGCTGCTGCAGCGTCTGGAGGCGTTCCTTCTCGAGATCAAGGGCAAGGTGATGCGGAAGTGGGCCGACAGCATCCTGAAGATCATTCACCGCAAGGTGGGCTGGCTGCGCAGGCGGAGGACCGGTGCGCGGCGGGGATCGGACGCGAACGCGAGGTGTTTCTGACGAGAGTGCCATTCCAGTTGATGATTGGCTGCTTGTCAGTGTCCAGCGTGGTCCTGTGCGTGTCGGCTGTGTGATACGCGCTTTTTGCTTTGTTTAATAATCTTGGTACCTTGTTGAGGGAAAATGGTGACTGAATGCGGCCAGTGGATTAGAAAATTGCTTGGCGTTCTGCTGCGTGAATGAGCTGTACGCAGTCCGGGACCAATTTATTGATGAGTTGGGTAGCAGTCAATTTTGCACTGTTCGTTATCTTGGACAAAACAGTGAAAGACCAGACTGGGCCTCAAAGCCATAGGGAGAGGAGGAAGTGCTGCGGGACGGGTGTAACCTCAGCGAAATTGTTTATGTTCATACAACATCCGTTGTGCTTGACCACAGCGGCTGCTGGCCCGTGTGACCATCCGGCCGTCCGTTGCCGCGTGGTCGGTGGTGTGGCGTGGTGAGGCCCAAGCCCACCGCCGGCGCCTGACCCCCCCCCCCCCTCCCCATCCGCCAGCGGCTGAATCGGGAGGAGCTCAAGCCGGAGGTGGTGTTCGGCGTTGATCGCTCGCCGCCGCCCACCGAGTGGCACCTCTTCAAGAGCGAGGACGACTGGAAAAATCCGTCGGTACGGCCGTGGTGCGGGAGGCGGGCCGGGCCGGAGACGGGCAAGGGAGAGGCAGGGGCCGGGACTTCAGCATGGGAAGCGAAGCAGGAGACAGGGCTCGCCTACAATATGCTGGGGGTGGAAGTGCGGGATTGTGTCGGTTATCCGGTGATTGAGGAACGTACCACTTGCGGGGGTCTGTCGGTGCCGGCAAGGTTGCCGTTATGTCGGTTCCGAGCGGGCGTGCGACGCTGGTGCGTAGTGCTGGCTGGCTGGTGATCATAATGACGTCAGCTTTCATCTTACGATGGCCAAGTCTTGTGTGGAAGTGGTGCGTTCAGTTTGTGGCGTGCCCAAACTTGAGCATCATCAGTTCAGCCTGCTGTCTGGTGCTCCGGTGTGTAGTGAGTCGGTTTCTGAGTGGCGCGGGTTGTTAACGTGCTGTGTGAGTGTGTGTGTCGCTCTGACCGGCGGCGCAGCTGGCGCTGGGCTCCGACTGACGTCCGCCGGCCGGCAGGAGGACCTGGTGAAGCCGCTGCTCATGCTGCACCCGATCGAGGTGGCCCGCCAGCTGACCTTGCTCGAGTTCGACCTGTACCGGGCCGTCAAGCCGGCAGAGCTGGTCGGCTCCGTCTGGACCAAGGAGAACAAGCAGCAGGCGTCACCCAACCTGCTGCGCATGATCCACCACAACACAAACGTCAGTCGGCCGCCGCGCGCCGCCGACCGCCGGCTGGCGGACGGTCCAGCGGCTGGCACTGGCTCCGCGGCCGGACGCCGCGAGCGCGGAGTCCGGTGGTGGGGTACTGATTCACTGGGGTGTGTGGCGGTACCGGTCACAGTCGTCGCCTGGTGACCCTGTTTAACTGGGTGTGCCCGCGTGTCCGTGCGGCGCCGCGAGGCTCCAGGTTGGACCTTGCGGTCCTGGGAGTCGCCGCGGAACCGAGGCCGGCCTTGCGGTCTCTGCCGCGTGTCGCCCCCGCGTGATCGGTCGCCCGCCGCCCCTGCCGACGCTGACTGACCGCCGTCCGCCGCAGGTGACCCGCTGGCTGGAGAAGTGCGTGGTCGACACGGAGAACATGGACGAGCGGCGCGCCGTGGTGTCGCGCGTCATCGAGATCATGATGGTGCTGCAGGAGCTCAACAACTTCAGCGGCGTGCTGGAGGTGGTGGCCGCGCTGGATAGCGCCGCCGTCCACCGGCTCATCCTCACCTTCGAGGTACGGGGTCTGGGCGACGCCGCCGGCGTGGCGTGACGTGACGGGTCGGCCGCCACCGGCGTCACGGTCGCACCACGGTCGCCGCCGTTTGCGGATTCTCACGGATGTGGTGTCCGGTTTGGTCGCGTTTTCCGTGAAGGCGGGACAATGGGTGGTAGTGCGGTGCGAACTGCGATTGGTGTGTGGGCGGCATGTCGTGCTGAGCAGTATCACGACAAAGCTTGCCACCACCATGCCTGTGAAAGGGTAGCCGAAACGCCTCACAGTCGTTTTATGCGCTTGTGAGCTGCCTGGCGTCGACGGCGTGTAGAGCTTCAACAGATGCCACCGCATCGTCGCCATGTAGCGCGGGTGGTGATGGGGGCAGCGCCGCGCGCGTCTGTCACTCCTCCGCCCACCTCCAGGAGATCGTGCCCAAGCTGGACCGGGCGCTGGAGGAGGCGCGCGAGCTCTGTAACGACCACTACAAGCGGTACCAGGAGAAGCTGCGCTCCATCAACCCGCCCTGCGTGCCGTTCTTCGGTGAGCGCCGGCCGCGGGCCTGAGTCGTGTCGGGGCTCTCTGTGGCGCTGAGCCGCACGGCCAGCGTGCGACGCTGTGTGGTGTGCGGCTGATTAGCCCGGGGCCGGTGTTGCGCGGGTGTCGGCTCTGCATGAGCGGCTGCTTCCCACGAGCTCTGATGGCGACGGCCGGCGTTTGCAGGCATGTACCTGACCAACATCCTGCACATCGACGAGGGCAACCCGGACTTCCTGCCCAAGTCGGACCGGCTGATCAACTTCAGCAAGCGGCGGAAGGTGGCCGAGATCACGGGCGAGATCCAGCAGTACCAGAACCAGCCGTACTGCCTGCGGCCCGTGCCCAAAATCAGGGTCAGTGACGACGCCGGCCGCGCGTTCCGGGCGCCAGGTTGGGTGGTGGCGAGGGGTTGGGGAAGGGGAGCTGTAAGGGAGAGACGTGCGGTGCGTCTCGACGCCGGAGTTAGCGGCGTCGCTCTAGCCCGATAAGTGAAGACACCGATGGGGTCTTAGCCTGCACCCAGCCAGGTCGAGTGGACACACATGGCGTCTGGCGGCGGGGTCACGGGAAGCCGCAGCGGGCGAGGCGTGGTGCTGTGGCGCCGTGCGAGCGGTGTCGGTGCCGGCGGGACGCGTCCCCGGCGTTCAGGACGCCCTGGTCCAGGCTGTGTGGCTCTCTCGTGTCGGACGAGGAGCTGGTGCCGAACGTCCGTCCGTCGGCCGACGGCCGCCCCCTCCACCGCCGGCTGCTGACGGTCCCCACCCGCCCGCTGTCGGCAGAGCTTCCTGGAGAACCTGCGGCCGTTCGAGGAGGGCAAGGAGACGGAGGACATCAACAACTACCTGTACACGCGCTCGCTGTACATCGAGCCGCGCGGATGCCGCGTGCCGCCCAAGTTTGTGAGTAGCCGGAGGGGCTGCGGCCGGTCCTCACGGAGTCATGTCGCGGACACAACTCACCGGTGCCGCAGGTCATTTGGGTCGGTCTTTGCGCCCGTGGGCTCAGAATGATCGTGCACGAGACACGATTGGGTAGAATTGGGTAGGGCAGGAGGGATGGCAGCCATGACCATTGCTCGTAGATTGGGACGAAGGGACAGCTGATTAGATCGCCTGACGTGCTTCGTGGCAAAGCCCGCGGAGATGTTTTCCCAACCTGACATCACACACCATTGACGTCTGCTCTGGCGTCCGACCTATGTCGCCGCAATGCGGCTGCGGCCTGGGTCGGCGAGTGGCGCGCTGTCGGCCGTGTCCGCCGTGTCCGCCTGACGCACCGTGTCCGCCGGGCAGCCGCGCCAGTGGGACGGCATGTCGCTGCGCTCGCCGGGCATCAAGCCGCGCCGCTCCAACGTGCCGCACCCGCTGCCGGCCATGCGGCTGTCGTCGTCGATGCGCATCGCCGAGGAGGCCGACTCGGACACGCCGCGCGTGCTCACGCCGCCGACGCCGTCGACGCCGTGCTCGCCGCCGCACACGGCCAACAGCGACCACAGCGTGTTCGCCAACGTCATCGTGGGCGTCGCCAGCAACGGCTCCGGTGAGCTGCGCCGAGCCCGGGCGTTGGGAGCGAGCGCTTAGAGTCCCGCCACCAGCCCGGGTGGCGCCCTGAGTCCGTGGTGGATGCAGACGTGTGGGCTTTGTGAGGTGTTTTGCGTTGCTGGCTCGTAATCCACGCTCGTGTACTCTAGAAGCACGTCCGGTACGTCTGTGCTCAGTGCTCTATCGCACACTCAGTGGCATCCAAGTAATGGCTTCCATCCACGCATCCGTACATGTTGAGTTGCTGGCGTCGGCCGTCTTGTGGCCGCCTGGCCTGAGGTCCGCGTGCCGCGCGCAGCACAACTGCCCGTGATGAGCCAGCACCGCGCGTGACCTTGCTGACCTGGGCCGTGTCCGGCTCGGCAGGGTTCGGCCTGACGAGTCAGTACAGCGCGCCGGCCGGCCTGACGCAGCAGCCGCCGCCGCTGCCGCCGCGCCGCAAGCGCGAGCTCTCGCTGGCCGACCCGCCCGGCCGCGTGCAGCAGGCGCCGGACGCGCCGCAGCTGCCGCCGCGCAACACGTCGCCGCCGCCGCGGCCGCCGCGCCGCGACCAGCCGCTGCCGCGCATGCACTCGGCCAGCACGCTGGTGCACGCCTTCCCGCCGCCGGAGGTGCCGCTGCCGCGGCGCAACTCGTCGGTGGACTCGCCGCCGCTGCCGCCGCCGCCGCCGGCCACGCTGCCGCGCCGCCTGCCGGCCGGCGCCGACCCCATGGCAGACGCGTTCGCCAAGCTCGGCCTCGGCGCGGAGAGAGGTGAGTAGCGGGGCGGCGGCGCGCCGGAGGACTCGGGGCGGAGAGGGGGCTGGGCGCTGACAGCTGCGGTTGAGTCGGGCGAGGGTGTGGGCAGGTTGTTGGGATGCGGTGCCGGTGGTTGTTGGGTTATGCAGCTGTCAAGGACGCACGGCCGAGTGGTCGTGAGCGGTTCTCGCCGTCAGCCCGCTGCTAGCACGCCGTGCTAGTCGTTGACGATGACCGAAATCTCTGGGTACACAGCGGACGCAGTTGTCGGCGCGCCCTCGCAAACCCCAGTCATTCACCATCGGTGTATTACCACAAGTGATGTGCCTCACAACGCAAGGCTCATTTCACAGCTGTTTCAATTAAAGGCATATTAGTGCCATATAGGCATATAACCGGCGTGAAAATGTCAAATTTTGCACTGTATCATTTGGCATTGGTGACTAGGAAGATTTGGGGAAACTTACGTGGTACTGACGCCGTACCGTTCGTCACGCCGGCACCGCGCGAACGGAAAGCTCCCACGCCCCCCCACCAGCGTCCGTGAACCAGGCAACCGATGCGGGAGCTGCTGCCGGTGTGCGGCCGACCGCGGTGGCGCGGCCTCTGACGCGCGCCCCCGCGCCCACAGGCGGCGGTGTCCGCTCGGCCAGCCCGTCCTCGGGCAGCCGGAGCGCGCGCGACCTGCAGCCGCACCGCAACCACTTCAACTTCAACTTCACCCTGTCGTCGACGCTGCCGTCGGCCGCCGCCGGGCCCCAGCTGCCGCCGAAGCCGTACCGTCAGCCGTGTTCGCTGTCGGAGCCGGGCGGCGCGCCGTAGGCGGCCGCTTGGCGCCCCGTACGACGAACTCTGCTGTGATAGATTGTTGACAAATGGTGCGAATATTTCTATTAGGTGTAATTGGAGCCGCGCGGCGCGGCGAAGGCCGCCGGTGCGCGGTGGTGTCCGCGGCGGACTCGCGTGCCCGACGGCGGACACGCGGCCGCTTGCCCGCACCCGTGCCCGGCGCCAGTGGCGCCCTCTGCCGAGGCGGCCAGCGCGCCGCGGCGCGCCGGAGACGTGGCTGGCAATCGCCCAGCGCCAGATGGCGGCCAGCACGCATTGATCTCAGTAGAGAGCGCGGCTCCTCCAAACGAAGATAGGTTCAGCGGTTTTCGCTTATGTTGCCATATATACGCTCATTATCAGTGTCGTGAACGCGTACAGACAGACCGAGGCACTTTTACCCATACGACAACAACGACGTTTATGTGGAGGTTGTTTTGGGAGGATGCGCATTGTTGATGACGAATGATATCAATTTGACCGGGGTTTACTAGTTGTCATTTAAACGGCCCGTCCCGGATACAGATGGCTTTAAGCGGCGGTCTGGCCGGCCGCGCGGCCCGGCTGGCGCCGGCCGGCGCCGTCCCGCGGCCGCCGGTCCGGGCCTGGCGCGGCGCCGGCGTCGCGACCGCGCCGCCCCGGGGCCGCCCCCCGGCCGGCACCCGCGGCACTGTACCGTCGTCGCTGTAATATACAATTGTACATAGGACTGCGGAAGCGTGTTTGGTGACGACCGGCCGGGATGGCGTCCGTGAACTGGACCCACGCCGCCATGGACTGGTGCGTGGCAGGACGCTGAAGCACGGCACCAGGCAGGCTTTGTTGTGGCTAAAGAAGATGATGGTGTTTTGCCCTCCGGGCGGTGGTTATTACTATTATTAGTATTATTACTGTTATTATTGTTGTTATTATTGTCATTGCCTTGTCGCTTGTCTGCGGAAACCGGCTGGGGCTGGTGGAAGAAGGCTCGCATTGCCAACCGTCCCACGTCAGATTATCGACAGGAGAGACAGCTCCTCGCTTCAGCTGGGGTGCTGCACGAGCTCGAGGTGGGACGCACGGTGCAGGCGGGGACGGAGAGAAAAAAGGATATGGTCAAAGTGACGTAATGGCGTAACAATTGGGCCAACAAAAGCGAGGGTGCATCGTCAAACATCTGTCCGCACAGGAGGTTCCCAGGTATAATGGGCAAAGTTCATGCTACGCAGTTTTGCTGCCCGCTTCATGCGTCATAACTGGATGAAACATGTTTGCTCTCCCAATGCTTTATTTGCCCCCCATCCCCCTTTGGCATTCCCTTCACTCGATCCTCTCTAACATGTGCAGAGAGAGCTGGGGTGAGCCTTCTTTGTCATTTTTCGTTTTTCTCTCCTGTTGTTCCGTCTTCGGTATCCCTCTCTGCTTCCCGCATCCCGTTCTCTTCACTCTTCCTTGTCCTCTAGGAGTTCCTCGCTCTGCCTCTCTTGCCTGCTTCTGTTTCGCTCACACATATCTCCTCTGTCTGTCTTTTCTTCTTGTTGTCTTCTGTCTCTTTCTTCGGTCCTGTAATATAAGTCTTCAGTCATCTATCTTTTGTTCTCTTAACCAATGCGTACGGTTCGATATCTGTTTTCCCCACTCGTTCTCTTATATCCCTTCTTCCTTCTTTCTGTTTCTCTTTCCCCTCTCTCTTTCTGTTTCTCTTTCCCCTCCTTCGCCGCCTGCCGAACCAAAAAAAGCACGCACAATTCACGCACACTAGTAGCTGCACATAACCCACTGCGCGCACACGCACTGACAAACAAGGGAGACGACCGGGCGGCGCGGACGAAAACAGGCCGCCGGCGCCCGGTCGCTGACCAGCAATACCCGGCACTGAGCGTCATCGGCCTTGTGAAGGCCATTATGGAATGCCTCGGCGCCCACGGCTCGGTCCGGGACAAATACTCCAGCTGCCGCCGGCCGGCCGGGAGGCCGCCGCGGCCAGCGACCTCTGTTGGCCCGCAGCGGTGCTTACTTTAGCTGCGCATCGCCGGAGGCGATCAGCCGCTCATTGCAGAGCAGTGTTTACGCATAACTCAGTACTTTCCAGTAGACAAACATAACGTCGGCGCGCTGCCAAGATGTAATGATGTTGTTTACTCTATTTACAACTACAAAACAGGTCGACAGGAACAAAAACGACAATAACAAGTCGGTACAATAACAGCGGCGGCCGGGCTGGCGCCGCCGCCCGCGGCCAGCCGGCGGTCTTACGGAGCGAGTCCGTCCCGTGAGGTGCGCACATCGCGGCCGGACGGTGGCTGAACGCCTGCGTCCCGCGGACGCGCCACCAATGCGGAACAGGATGGAGCGGCCCGCAGCAGCCTGCAGGGCCCAGGATAGCGAAGCGGCTCAACAGATGGCCGCTGGCTGGGGAGACGCCGCAGCCTCAGAAGGCGGTGGGCGCTCTCCGGGCGGGTCCGCTTTGGTTTGAAGTGGGTCGTTCTGTCCGCCGCACACGCCAGTTGTCGCTGCTACTCCTTATCACGTCGCATCCAAGTCTATTCGTCAAGCTCGGCTGAGGGTCAAGTTGGGGCATCTTGATTAGCTCCGAATCCGACTATTACAAGACGCATAGCTGTAAGATAGGTAAAAAAGGCTGCAGAACGGGCTTGTCCAAGTGGACATACGTGGGCGTACCAGCCGCGGCAGGTTATAGTCTTCTGCCGGTTCAAAATTGCATGAATTGTTTGTGCTGTTTTGTGTTTTGCTTTTGTTGTTAAGTGTAATTAACTTCTGCTATCCTCTTCGATAAAGGCCTGCTGCCAAAATTTTAACTCATCTGCATCTCCATTCGCCTGCTTTTTCTCCGAGGAACAAGGCTATTTCTGCTCTCTTAGTCGTCCATCGGATGTAATCCGTGCGTCCGGCAGTCGAATGCACTCATCCATAGGAAACATCCCATGCAAACGACAGGTGGCTCGGCCGTCACTGGACACCGCTCGTGCAACAGCGCACGGGCATGTCCGTAAAGTTGCGATTTATTCAGCGATTTTTTCAGCGACGAGTTCCGATTTCCCTGCAAAACGGTTACAAGGTCAATTGTGGCATGAGAACAGCAAAAATGACCCTTATTTTGCCATCTCATGTGACCTTCAAGGTCAAAAGCTGGGTCAAAGGACGGGGAACTCGATATCACCCAAAAATTACCCGCCTACTTTCAACTTGCAAGTGTCAGAATATTCAGCACAGAAAAAAATTGCCTCCATCCAAAATTTCTGACCTCTCAAGGTCACCATTCAAGGTTAAACGCCGGCCCAAAAGACGAGGAACTTTACATCACCAAAGAATTACCGGCTGATTCTTAACTTAAAAACATCAGAATATTCACCACAGAAAGAGCTAGCGTCCGTCTTAAAGTCCTGACCTCTCAATGTCACCCTTCAAGGTCAAACACGGGCTCAAAGGACGGCGAACCCTATGTCACCCAAAAATTACCGGCCGATTTTTAACTTACAAACATTAGAATATTTACCACAAAAGACTAGCGCCCGTCATAAAGTCCTGAACTCTCAAGGTCACCATTCAAGGTCAAACTCGGACTCAAAGGACGGGGAACTCGATATCACCCAAAAATTGCCGGTCTATTTAATCTTAAAGACGTCAAAATGTTCACCACAGAGATAGCTAGCGTGCCTCATTAAGTTCTCACCTGTCAAGGTCACCCTTCAATGTCAAACACGGGCTCAAAGGACGGGAAGCTTCATATCACGCGAAAATTACAGGCCGAGTTTTAACTTACAAACGCCAGAATATTCACCACAGAAAGAACTAGCGTCCGTCAAAATGTTCTTACCTCTCAAGGTCACTCTTTAAGGACAAACGTGGCTTTAAGTGACAGGCAACTCAATATCATCCAAAAATTACCGGTCGATTCTTACCTTACATAAATCAAAACATTCGCGACAGAATGAGCTAGCGTCCGTTAAAAAGCCCTGACCTCTCAAGGTCACCTTTCAAGGTCAAACACGGGCTCAAAGGACGGGAAACTTCATGTCACCCAAAAATTACCCGCCGATTTTTAACTTACAAACATCAGAACATTCACCACAAAAAGAACTAGCGCCCATCCAAAGCCTCTGACCTCTCAAGGTCACCCTTCAAGGTCAAACACGGGCTCAAGGGACGGGGAACTCCATATCAGCCAAAACTTAGTGCCCGATTTTTACCTTACAAGCATCAGAATATTCACCACAGAAAGAATCAGCGTGCGTCAGAAAGTCCTGACCTCTCAAGGTCACTCTTTAAGGTCAAATGCGGGCTTAAAGGATGGGGAACTCCATATCACCCAAAAATTACCGGCCGATCTTTACCTTTTCAAGATCAAAACATTTACCACAAAATGAGCTAGCGTCCGTCAAAAAGTCCTGACCTCTCAAGGCTACCCTTCAAGGTCAAACGCGGACTCAAAGGGCGGGGAACTCTATATCACCAAAAAAATTACCGGCCGATTTTTAACTTACAAAGATGAGAACATTCACCACAGAAAGAGAAAAGTAAAACAAAACAAAAAGTCCGACAAAAGTATTGGTTTGTCAAGGTCATCCTTCAAGGTCAAACGCGGGCTCAAAAGACGGGGAACTCTACATCACCCACAAATTACCGGTCGATCTTTTACTTGTAAACATCAAAACAATTACCACAGAAAGAGCTAGCGCCCGTCAAAAGTCCTAACGTTTCCTGGTCGCCCTTCAAGGTGAAATGCGGGCTGGAAGGACGGGGAACTCCACATCACCCAAAAATTACCGGCCTATTTTAAACTTACAAACATCAGAATATTTTTCACGGAAAGAACTAGGGGATTTGGGAAATAGGGGACTTCTTACGGACGCTAGTTCTTTCTGTGGAAATATACAGATGTTTATGAGTTTAAATAGGCCAATACTTTTTGGGTGATGTGGAATTCCCTGTCCTTTGAGCCCGCACTTGACTTTGAAGGGTGACCTTGAGATGTCAGGATTTTTTGACGGACGCGCTCTTTCTGTGATGAGTGCTCTGATGTTTGTAATCTCAAAAACGTTCGGTAATTTGTGGGTGATATAGAGTTCCCCGTTCTTCGAGGCCGCGTTTGACATTGAAGGGTGACCTTGAGATGTCAGGATTTTTTGAAGGACGCTAGCTCTTTCTGTGGTGAATGTTTTGATCTTAGGAAATAAAAATCGGCCGGTAATTTTTGGGTGATATGGACTTCCCTGTCCTTTGAGCCCGCGTTTGACCGTGAAGGGTGACCTTGAGAGGTTAGGACTTTTGAAGGACTCTTTGTGTGATGAATGTTCTTATGTTTGTAAGTTAAAAATCGGCCGGTGTTTTTCGGGTAATAAGGAGTTCCCCGTCCTTTGAGCCCGTGTTTGACCTTGAGGGGTGATCTTGACAGGTCAGAACTTAATGACGGACGCTAGCTCTTTCTGTGGTGAATACTCTGATGTCTTTAAGTTTAAACTTGGCCGGCAATTTTTGGGTGATTCAGAGCTCCCCGTCCTTTGAGCCAGCGTTTGACCTTTAAGAGTGACCTTGAGAGGTCAGGCCTTTTTGATGGACGCTAGTTCTTTCTGTGGTCAAAGATCTGATCTTTGAAAAATAAAAATCGGCCGGTACTTTTTGGGTGATATGAAGTTTTCCGTCCTTTGAGCCCGTGTTTGACCTTGAAGGGTGACCTTGAGAGGTCGGGACTTTTGGACGAACACTGGTTCTTTCTGTGTTGAATGTTCTGACATTTGCAAGTTCAAAATCTGCCGGTAATTTTTGGAAGATATAGACCTCCCCGTCCTTTGACCCAGCTTTTGACCCTGAAGGTCACATGATATTGTAAAATAATGGTCATTTTTGGTGTTCTCATGCCACCATTGACCTTGAAACTATTCTTCAGGGAAATCGGAACTCGTCGCTGAAAAATTCGCTGAACAGCATCGCACGGGCGTGGTTAACGATCAACCTCATTTCGGGTCAACAGCAACTGGGTACATAAACCGTCCCCTGGGCGTGTCCTGGGCAACACGCCAGCTGTGCGCGAGAACAGCCGTCTGTCATGCGCGACCAGGACAACCCAATGGATGCTCGCCGCGGGCTTTTATGGGCAAACTGACTTTAATACTTGACGTAATATTGTACTTCTGATTCGAGAACCTGGCTATTAAACACATCACGCTACTATATTTGGACAAAACAGCAACTGAATATCAGTTAGTTTTTAGTAAAGTTTCGGGTAGTTTTTGTGCACCGTGTGTAACGTTCGCTAGTGAGATTTCCTGTGCCATAAATCCCTTAGACCATCGGCGCGACCCTACACTATGGGGCAGGGCTGTCACGACTCGGCCCCGCTTGTGGGCTGGGGGTGGGACTGCGAAGTGGTACTCGAGGGGAGACGCCTCTCCAGGGCTATTTGAATGATGGACGTGTGGCAAAGACCAGTAAACTCTTGTCAGTCATGCGCCTTGCTTTATCATTCCTGAGGATGACCACCCGCCGAAGCGCTGGCAAAAGGCTCATCATCGGAGTCACGGATTCTCGGAATCGTATACGCATTGCGTTAGAAGTGTTTGCATTCTACAGCATATCCCATTCAGTTGCCCCCCTCGGCAGACCCATTTCTGTTCGGGACATGCTTCTTCAGATTTGAAGAGCAATGGTTTAAGCTATCTTACACTGTCTGTGTGTCTCCTGTCTTTCAACCAAACGTTCCCTGGATCGCAAGAAATTATGTATTTGTACTTCTGCCCTTCTCTGTGACACTTTCGGCTTCCGAGCCCTCGATCCCGCTACCTCCAGCGGAGAGGGTCTGGGGGAGAGGGGGGGGGGGGGGGGGGGGTGCACGGCGATGGGCAGGCAGTCAGCCGTCGCCCGCCGAGCCGACACCGTCAGCTTCGCCGTGTCGCCATTCACGAAAACCCTGCTTTCAAGGCGAAGCGCGCGCCTGTATCGCCACCGGAATCTACATCGATTGATTCCTGGCCTTCCAGCCAAAACTCAGCACCATCTCGAGCTATTTATTCATCACGAAAGTATTTAAAGCCCGTCACAAACGATAAACGCGAACCGGAAGCACCATTAAACATTCAAGGTCAGCCGCCATGTTGGAGGGCAGGTCCCACCGTTCCGCTGCGTCAGTTAACCCAGGTCAGCAAATGAGACCAGGCGAGCCCGCGCCGACTGCAGCAGGGTCAGGTCAGGTCAGGAGACAAGACCCGTCCAGCCCGCGCCGACTGCAGCAGGGCCAGCACAGGTCAGCTCAGCTCAGGTCAGGTCAGGTCAGGAGACAAGACCCGCCCAGCCCGCGCCGACTGCAGCAGGGCCAGCACAGCTCAGGTCAGGTCAGCTCAGGTCAGGCCAGGAGACAAGACCCGCCCAGCCCGCGCCGACTGCAGCAGGGTCAGCACAGGTCAGGTCAGGTCAGGAGACAAGACCCGTTCAGCCCGCGCCGACTGCAGCAGGACCAGCACAGGTCAGCTCAGCTCAGGTCAGGTCAGGTCAGGAGACGAGACGAGACCAGCCCGCGCCGACTGCAGCAGGACCAGCACAGCTCAGGTCAGGTCAGGAGACAAGACCCGCCCAGCCGCGCCGACTGCAGCAGGGCCAGCACAGGTCAGCCCAGACGGACCGAGGCCAGCTCAGTGCAGGCCAGGCCGACCTTACCCGGCCAGCTCGATCCGCACCGCGCCGCCCCGCCAAGCCCGGCTGCCACCGGCGGCTCCCGCCCGGTCAGGCCCAGCTCCCACCCGCCCCTGTCCGCGGCGGGCTCCCACACCAGGGCCCTCGTCCAGCCGAGGTCAGGGCACCTCGCCGAGCAGCGTGACGTGGAAGATGCCCGCGTCGCCGGGCGGCTGCAGCAGACGCAGCGTCAGCCGGCCCGAGTACAGCCCCGGCCCCGGCGGCTGGAAGTACACCGGCAGGTGGATGTAGCGCCGCGAGCGGGACAGCATCTGGCCGTGGTTCACCGAGAACGGGCCCGACACGTGCAGCTCAAACTGGCGGCAGAGCGGGCGCCGGTCAGAGCGGGCGTCGCATTCGCACCGCCCGCACACGCCAAGTCGGCCACGTTTTCGCGGAAAGGTGGAATTACTTCTCAGCAACGGCGACTGCTTACGAGACTAAGGTAACGCATATTTCGGTGGTGTCGGCTGCAGAGCGTGGTCAGAAGTGACGAAGCGAACAGTGGAATGTGCAATTATGCAGACTTATCACGCGACCTTCAAGTGGCATGAACAACGTACATCTCCACTCTACGCAACATCGAACGACTTTATGAACGACGTTGACAGGACATAACGCCGGTCTGGGCCCACACACGGTAACCATACCAGACCCCGACGGAGACCACCCCGGCCGCCGGCGTGCCGGGTCACGGCGCGGGTCGCCGCCTCACCGCGTAGTCAAGCCGGCTCTTGTTGTTGATGGTGAGCTTGACGGCGCGCTGGTCGGCCGGGAACTCGATGGTGTCCGGCTGCACCGTCAACGGGAAGCGGTGCGTCTCCGGCGGCGCCGGCGCGCCCTGGCCGGCCACACGCACCAGCAGGCAGGACGGCATCACCGACTGCTCCCGATCCCTGGCCACCGACGGCACGGCACGTCACGTCACGTGGTGGAGCGCACCGGCCAGCAGACATGACGGCATCACCGACTGCTCCCGGCCCCTGGCCACCGACGGCACGGCACGTCACGTCGCGCGGTGGGGCGCACCGGCCAGCAGACATGACGGCATCACCGACTGCTCCCGGTCCCTGGCCACCGACGGCACGGCACGTCACGTCGCGCGGTGGGGCGCACCGGCCAGCAGACATGACGGCATCACCGACTGCTCCCGGTCCCTGGCCACCGACGGCACGGCACGTCACGTCGCGCGGTGGGGCGCGCCGGCCAGCAGGCAGGACGGCATCACCGACTGCTCCCGGTCCCTGGCCACCGACGGCACGGCACGTCACGTCGCGCGGTGGGGCGCACCGGCCAGCAGGCAGGACGGCATCACCGACTGCTCCCGGCCCCTGGCCACCGACGGCACGGCACGTCACGTCGCGCGGTGGGGCGCACCGGCCAGCAGGCGGCGATACCGGTCCGGAACGCTGGCCGAGACAAGACCGCACGACCACGCCGATAGCTGCTTCGTGGTTGCGTGAGCCGACTAGGCGCATTCCTATTTTTGTCGATACGACATATGACAGCGAAAAGACACACCAGTGGGCCTGTTTGTAGATACGGAATGCTTGATACTTAGTGTGGAGACACATTCAAGGGGGGGGGGGGGAGAAGGGGCATATCGGGAGACTGCCCTCCCGCATAATGCGTGCTTGATTTTTGCGTTCCAAGGAATATGCATGGGGTGCAATATAAACCGTTCAAACCACTATTCAGTGTAACATTTGTCACCGAACCCCTCCCACCCCAAACCAAAATGGGGCACACGTTCCTGCGCCCTATCCAACGCATCCCCCTCCCCGCCAGCCGGTCGTCAGCTCATCCCTCACACGCCGTCCCCCCACCCTCTAGCCAGCAGGTCACTAGCTCACCTCTTACGCGCCACCCCCCCCCCCCCCTCTCCAGCCAGCCGGTCGTCAGCCCACCCCTCACACGCCTTCCTCCTCCCTCGCCCACCGGCCACTCACAGGATGTCGGCGTCGGCGCTGGCCACCAGGTAGAACGTCTGTGTGAAGTAGCCAGCGGCCGGCGGGCTGAAGCGCGCCGCCAGCGCCACCGTCTGGCCCGGCGGCACCTCGCCCTGCGTCGGGTGGAACCGGAACACGCTGCCGCCCACCTGGGTCAGGTCGCTCGCCCGCGGTGTGCTCTGCGGCGCGCGCGCACGCATCACCAGGCGGCATAGTGCGCGCGGGGCCGCCACGCGTCGCGGTTTGGGTCAGGGGTGTGGTAAAATGAGTTGGAGGAAAATGGGGAGGGGGATTGAGAAGTGAAAGTTGGCGAAGTGCGCCCACACAATACTCAAACTTACCCGAATTTGGCCCACTTTCCCCCCTTTCTTTTCAGAGTTTGGCGAGGGCTCGAGTCCCGAATAGGCAGTCTTATCCCTGGTTTCGGCATCATGACGCACGGGATGTGAGAAACAGACAGCAAGCCACGACTGGGGGGCGTGTATTTTGTCACCAGACAGACACCGGTCACCAATTCTAAATCCAGGCTGCTCGCCAACCCAGCGGACGCGCAAGCACTTTGTGCGGGGCCCTGTACAGAACCAGTGCTCGGGCGCATTTGCTAGATCGCGCATCGGCCAGAATCCCGAGAACCCCAAACACACAGTCAGGCGGTAAGCAGAGCGGCAGGGCGGCCTGCGCCCCGCGTCACGCCAGCCAGTGTCGGCCCTCGCCGCGCCATAACTGCGCTCACGGATGGACCAGCACCGGCTGACCAGCGCCCAGCACCAGCTCACCTGTATCCAGGGGCGGACCAGCGCCTCCAGCGACCAGCGCAGCCGGACGCCGCTGCCGTTGCTGAAGCTCAGCGCGCCCGCCGAGCGCTGGCCCAGCGCCGTCTCCGGGAACAGCACCTGGTCGCTGGCCAGCTGGAGGAGACGCGGCCCGTCGGCGGGCGCCGCGCGCGCCGCCGCCGGCGGCTCCGGCGTGCTCCGCTCCACGTCCGGGCCGGACGACTCCAGCGAGGCGTCCGACGGCGGCCGGCGGCCGGCCGGGGTCGGGCCGCCCGCGCACCGTAGCCTCTGTGCCGCACACGGACGGCCTTACACGCTGCCCGGCTCACCGCCCTCGTCCCGGCCAGGCTGATGGTCCTGGATAGCGTGGCCGCGCGGCGAGTCTGAACGCCGGCACGCTGAGGCGCACTCGGCGCCGCTGCGGTCTCGTGTTCAAAACGCACCGCGCTATCCCGAGTTAGCGACCGCCCAGTCTTGTGTTGCCAAAACAGCTGACAATGTCACACATCGGGGACGACCCTAGCAGCCAGCGCACGCATTTGGCTGGTCAATGAAACGCCGAAGCCAAACGTCAGTTCCCCAGTGATGTCGTCAGTAGTGCTAACGGGAGCACTGACCAGACCGAGGCCTACCCCGCCTGACCCGCCCCCGTGAGACTCCCGCGGAGGCGGCGGCTGGCGGGTGCGGGGTCTCACGTTGGTGTGAAGGGTGTACGCGGCCGGCTCAGCGGGCGGCAGTGGCGCCGGCGGCGGCGGCTGGACGGCCGAGCTCCGGGCGGCGGCGGCGGCACTCGGCACCCCCCGCTGGGCCCTGCCGAACGGCCTGCACGTCAGACGGCGAGACGGCCGGAGCCGGGCTCAGAGACGGCCGGAGCCGGGCTCAGAGACGGTCGTAGCCGGGCCCAGAGACAGCCGGAGCCGAGCTGAGAGACGGCCAGAGCCGGGCTGAGAGATAGAGCCGGCTCTGTGGATGTTGTTGCGGGGCTCCAGCATGGCAGCGAAATACAGGCCCGCCGCCGCCGACAGGCAAGAACATGAACGACGCCACAAGAATCACACAGAAGCTCCAGTCACAGGCCACGCCACAGCACCAGCTCAGCTGTGACGTCCGTGTGGCGAGGGCCGCTTCACGAGAGACCTCACTACAGGGAAGAGCCGGGACTCGAAGCGGCCGCAGGGCGACAGCGACGCAGGGGCCGCAGTCCGGTGCTCACCGCGTCACGTTGCTGTAGGACGTGCAGTTCAGAATGCTGGCGACGGTGTCGTCCGCGTGCAGGTTGGTGAACATGTCGGACGAGTCCATAGAGCGGGTGCTGAGGGTAGCTGGGGAACAGGCATTGTCGGGCGAACTGATCACGCGCTCATTCAAGACTGCCTTAAGCTACAACAGGCGACTTCGCCACGCCTACAGCGGCGCGCGACGCACAGACGGACCTCGCGAACTCTGAATGACACCAGAATGCACCGCGCTTTACGGCGAGAGCTGGCGATGTCGTCCGGCATGGAGCGAGTTCGTGCCATAGACATGGCATAAAGAACACACCTGCTCACGCCCGACAAGACATGGCCGAACAAAGAACGCAGACACCAAGAACCGCCCACACTTGGCGAATAACTGCCAAACCATGCCAGGGCCCCTCCCAACACACATCAGGCCGGGCGGAACCCACGCCATCCCTGCCCCGCCGACGGCCGCCGCACCTTTCACCGGCAGCCGAATCTCGCGCACGTTGGCGAAGAATGTGTCGGCGAGGCCGGGCAGGCGCTGGATCGCAGCCAGCTCGGCCGGGTCGGCGGGCGTCTCGCCGTCGAACGCGCCGCAGAGGTCGACCGCCATCAGGCCGGGCGAGGCGTGGCGCGACGAGAGCGGCCGGTCCCGCGGCAGGCTGGCGGCACGGCCGGCGCCGACGTCAGGGCGGACACAGCGCCGCCGTCGCCACGCGGCGGCGGGGAGACGGATCATCCCGCGGCGGCCGCAGCACACACGGGCGCGGGCAGCCGGTGAGCTTGGAAAGCCCGCGCTGAGGTCGACGTCGGAGATTGCAGGATGGCGACAACAGACTCGGGATTGCGCCGACAGACCGGCAGAAGCGGAGACGCTGCAGCCGCCGCCGCACCAGCCCAGCAACTAATCCCGTCACAAAGCAACAAACTGGCCATTCGTGCAGCGAGAGCAAATATTAGCCAGGTAACCTTGCCTTCCTGCCGGCGCCACACCCAGCACGTCCTCCGCACGCGACATGCACACACGGGAGCCCGTTTGGGCGGCGGGCCGGTCCGCACCGCGCCAGCCGGGCCCGGCAGCGGCCGCCGCGGCCACGAGAGAGTCCTGGAGCGGCGCCCGTCCGGCCAGGGCGACCCGGGCGCCGGCCGGCTCACCGTCGGAAGGCGTGACGCAGCACCTCGTCGCCCGTGAGCAGGCGCAGGCAGGCGGGCGCCGGCTCGCCGGCCGGCACGCGCAGCACCAGCGCCACCTGGCGGCCCTCGCCGGCCGCCAGCACCAGCTGCTCGGGCCGAGCGCTGAACTGCGACGCCGCCAGGGGGTGCAGACAGCCGGCGTCTGCAGACGCGGCAGGTCGGTCAGCCGAGGATGCGGCGCGCCGAAAAGCGAGGAAAACGTTCGAGTGCGTGTGTGTGTGTGGGGGGGGGGGGGGATAGTTCGGCCAGCTCGCCAGCTGGTCGAGCTGCCAGCTTCCGTTCCACGCGCAGCAGCAGCTCAGCGCACATCATGACGCGTCTGCCCTTCACAGATATCCAACAGTTAAAGCGAGCGCACGTCGATCCGCCAGCGCCGTCCTCTCACATATCCTGGTCCGGTCCTCTTACTCGCACCCGTCCGTGCGCCGCGCCTCCCATCCCTGGCCTCCCCAGCCGCCCTGCCGCCGTCCCTGCGCGGCGGCCGCACAGCACGCACCCCTGAAAGCGACGATCTTGACGAAGGCGCGTCGGTCGCCGACGTTGGCCACGGTGAGCGGGGTGTGCACGGTGGCGCCGGGCTGCACCTCGCCCAGCCGCAGCCCGTCGGCCGGCGCCACGTTCAGCTGGATCTCCGAGCTGCCGCTGTAGCCGACCAATGGGATCTGCCACGGGGGAGCGTCACAGACACGGCGTCTCGCGGCCGGGGACGGGAGACAGGCAAGATCTGCCGCGGGGGAGCGTCACAGACACGGGGTCTCGCGGCCGGGGACAGTAGACAGGCAGCGAGTCGGGGCTGATGGCCAGGGCAGCTGGTTAAAGAGCAGCCCAACCGTTGGGCAACACTGAAACGGCACACAAATATACCGGGACGATGGGTTAACGATCGAATCCGAGTACAAAACAAACTAGAGCGACCCAACATGCCACCCAACCACGGGTCAGGGGTGGCGCATTTACAGATGACATGTGATCGAGCCTGAACCCGAACCAATGCCTATACCGCGGCCGGGTACTGACGGTAAACTTGATGTTGCGGTCGGCGGCGGGCCGGGCCGGCGGCTTGATGACCAGCAGGCCCTGCGCCGCCTCCACCTGCGTCGGCTGGTAGACCAGCGTCAGCTCGTGGTCCGTCTGCGGCGCCAGCTCCAGCGCCAGCTCCTGCGCCGAGCCGGCGGCGCCGGGCTCGCCAAACGCCCGGAACTGGCGGCGAGCGGCCTCCGTCAGTCGGGCGGCGGCGGCGGCGGCACGGTGCGCCGCTCCCAACCACCGGTCGGCGCGGTGACGCGCACGGAACACGGGCGTCGCGGAGGCGTGCGACGTGGATCGCACGGCCCAGGCAGCGTGGCCAGCTGGGCGCAGCAATGGGGAGGCAAGCAAAGGTGGTGCAAGGGCAGAAACACGAAACAAATAATTGGTCACGCCAGCACCAGGCAGGACACGCCTGGACCGGACGGACTGGACAGGCTCCATCTGATCAACGGATCGCATCAAACCGGATCATATCGAATCAACGCCCGCCGGCTGAGATCCTCACCTCTGATCATCACCTCGGCCTCAGAGGCTCCGCTTCCACCACAGACAGCTGCCGACATCGCAGCCCGACGACCCCAACCGCCGCCCTCTCCTGCCCCTGTCCTCTCACCCGCGCCGGCGGCCGGCCCGGCCCGGCACGACTCACCGCGAACTGGGTGGCGTTGCGGATAGTGAGGCGCAGCTGGAGCGGCTCCGTCTGGGAGCCGTTGCGCAGGACCAGAGAGCGGGTGGTGGGGCGGCCGCAGCGCGCCCCCGTCCACAGCAGCAGCTGCTTGTTGCTGCGCAGCGACTCGGCCGGGTGGGAGAGCCTGCGGCACAGGCGCCGCTCAGTCGGAGCAGAGACCGGCGACGGGGAACGCAGAGACCGGCGACGGGCGCAGCGCATCCAGGCGACGCCGGTCGCGGCCACGCCTGACGGGACACCAACAGCGCCGGCAGAGGAGTGCAGAAGGGCGCCGACAAACTAACCGCTCGACTGCACGAATTAGTCGGTCATTCATCAGCGCACTGGTGATCAGGAGTGACGACAAAATGACCGCACGACAGCACGTAACGACGTAAACACCCACCGGACAAGACCTTCCGCAAACAGCGAGGCATATTACAACAACGTGCACATGTCGCACATCAATCCAAACAACGGCAGATCGCAGATGCAGCGATCCGCGCCACCTGGGCAGCACGGCTGCTCCGACCAGAGCGTTCGGCATCACATCAAACGCGCCCGTCATCGCTCCGAGCGGCCCGACGGCGTATCGTCGCCGGCCGTCGCTAGGCCCGCCTACCGGCTCGGCGGTCCGGCCGGCCCGCGGACGGGCGGCGTCTGGTGCTGGGGCGGCGACCGGACCTGCTCGCCCCGCTCGGCCGGCGGCGCCAGCGCCAACAACGAGGTCTGCACGGCCGTGTCGCGGGCAGCGCGGCCGCCAGGGCTGGCGGCGCGGGCCGGCCGCGGACTGCGGGACCTGCCAGCGCCCGGGCACGCAGGTCAGACAGACGGTCGAGGGTCAGAGACGGTCAAGGGTCGGACGGACCGGGCACAGGGTCAGACGGACCGGGCACGGGGTCAGACGAACGGGCACGGGGTCAGACGGACCAGGCACTGGAATCAGTTGGCTGGACAAATGAGGTTAGACGGGCAGCCTCGATCTCCTCAGCCTCGGACCTGACAAGACGTACATCACTGCCAGCCCCGCTGACGGGCCATCAACGGTAGACAAATCTGTCTGCGCACTGCCGAACTCAGGACACGATCATCCACAGATCAGCAGGTCACAGGTCACGGCGATCATTGATCGCACACGACTCGGCGTTTGACGCACAGCTGCGACGCCCAGCTGCAGCGGCAGTGACGGACCGTCTACCAGTCGCCACAAGCCAGCCTCTGCCGCGGGCGCCGGCGCGCTCCACACCGCCGACACCGCGACGCCCGGGCGGCCGGTCGTCCGGGCGGAGCGCGGCCCCGCTCACCTGCTGCGTGAGTGAGCGCGCTCCCTCCTCCTGGTCTTGGTGAGGCGGCGGGCCGACTTCATCTCGGGCGAGCCGACGCGCGGCCGCTCGCCGGCCCGGCTCTCGCCGATCACGCCTGTCGCCGAGGCCGGTCAGCGCGTGACGCCCCCGACGGCGGCCCGGCCGGCACGGCACGGCACGGTACGGCACGGCACGGCACGGCACGGCACGGCACGGCACGGCACGGTACGGCACGGCACGGCACGGCACGGCACGGCACGGCACGGCACGGCACGCCAGCGATACGAGACGAACACAGAACGTCTGCACCACGTCTGCACAGTGCGGTTTTTCAAAGCAGAAAATGACTCCAGCAGTCTGTGTCCCATTTGATCCAAACCATGAACAAAACAAGCGATCGCTTGCTTTCCGCGCTGTCGGCACACCTCCGACACGTTTGCCGGCCGGGGCGAGGAGCGCGGGCAGTGCCGCAGTACAGGCGCCGGCGCCGCGGCGGCCGTCGCACCTCGGATGTCGACCTCGTAGGACGGCCCGTCCGGCTGGACGGTGAGCACGACGCAGCCGCTGCCGCCGCTCTGCTGGTCGAGCGGCTGGAAGGTGAGCATGACGTCGCGCTCGGCGCGAGGCGGCACCGTCACGCGGTCAGGCCGCACCCAGACGGCGTCGCGCAGGCCGGACACGGCCAGCCGCAGCTCCAGCGCGATGTTACCTGCCGGCGGCGGCGGGGAGCGGCGGCGCGCGTCAGGGCGCGGCCGCGCCGCGGCGCCCACGGCACCGCCGCGCCCGAGGAGAGGCGCAGCCGCTCGGCCGCACGCAAGGACTCATCACCGGAGACGACGGTGAAGAGGAGGGCATCTACGTCGACAGGTAGCGTCAAGGTACGGCGTCTCGGTTACACGGCGATGGGCCCTTCTGCAGAGATGATGCTGACACCACCATCCCAACGGTCCGCGCCGACACCCGCCAATGTTGATAACATCGGACACGAATCGGAAGATCGTGGCTGACAGGCGACAGGACATTCGCCAGCACATCGGCAGAATGCGTACTTTCCGAGCATAAAGACAAACAGACGAACCGTTTCAAACCTCGAGCAGCTCGACCCAGCCGCCTGAGAGCCAACACCACTCGGCACATCCTCTGGACCATTCCTCGCAGCATCACACCCACGCGTTCGCAGAGAGCCCACGCGACCGACCTGTGTTCTTCATGGGCAAGTTGAGGGAGGTGGTCTCGGACGGGCGGCAGCGCATCTCGAGCGGCTCGCGGCAGCGCGTGCGCAGCTTAACGCGGCCGACGGTGGCCAGGAGGCGGCACGAGAGCAGCGGCTCGGCCGGCGGCGGCGCGGCGCCCTCCAGCTCCAGCTGCAGCGTGCCCTGCACCGTCTCCAGCGGCGGACAGTCTGCGACGA